CGGATTCGGACTCAAACCCACAAAAAGGATAAACACTTAAATTAAAATAGTTGTACTGATAATGAAATGATCCAAGGGGTATATAATACTAAATAAATAGTATTTTAATTCCTGGGCTTTATTCGTAATCTTTTTTCCATCCGCTATTAGACAATTTTACAGTTTTCCTCCTTTGTATGATTACTCGCGGTTAAAATTATCAACTTCTTGTTGTGTCATACGGAATAATAGTAATATATATATAGAAAATCTATAGGAACTTAATTGCTTATTATCAGACATTAACGAACTAGCATTAATCAATACTGGGTTTGGTTTAATTTGGAAATTGACAAAACAATAAGCTCCTAATAATCTATATATTGCGTTTTCATGTGCCTTCGGCAAAAAACAAAGATAATGACTAGTAAGGAAGAAAATTAGTGGCAGCAATACCTAATTACTACACAAGCGACTGAGTAAGAAGCCAGTAAGCAACCACTTATGCCAAGTATATTTACTTTCATAACGCTGCAGGAAGCCTTTTCCAACGAGTCCGAACAATTGCAGTTATACGGTCACATCAATGAGGACCTAGCAATACTATAATAGAAGTGCATAATGAAGGTGATATCAGAAATATGAACAATTTAATTAAAAAAAACTAAAGTACAGATAAGTTATGTTTTAGTCATCGGAAGATTAGAAACGATAAGATCCCTAAGGAAAAAGCAAATAATAACTTCATTGAAAGCAAAGAAACTATACATATATCATTAAAAATACTGATAGGGAAGATTTTGGCGAAAGAATGTATAAACTTTACTGGATATACCCTAGCCTATCTTGATTTTTCGGCGTTCTTAACTTGAGGAGGGGTGTTGGTCACGGGGGCATAATGTCCAGCAAAGTACCTGTCGTAGATCTGTGTCGAGACAATGATGAAAAGAAGACAAAGGAGGAGGATAAGAATATAATCAACAAGCATTCGAACACCTTGGTCTTGTATGGAATCCACCAGAGCTCTTTGTTGAAACCACTCACTACGAAAACCAAGGCCAGTTACCAGGCAACCGAGGGAAAAGAAAATTGCTCCAGAAATTGCATGCATTTTCCGCGAAATGCTCGGCTTCATCCAACGTTTCATAAAACCACAAGATTTGAGAAAGCCAAAAATGACTTGTAGCAGACCGTGGAAAATGAAAAGAATACCCAGGATACCATGCCAAGATTTCAAACGTGGACGATTGTTATCCCTTTTCACTTTGTCAATAACTGCACTACCGGCAATAATCACAATAATGCCCAATGTCTGCAATAAGGCATGCAAATTATACTAAAAATTAAAAGCTATAATCAGTAAAAATTTCGAACCTTTTTAATGGCATTGGCTGTGGGAACCAGAGAACTGAATTTATTGTAAACAATGATTCCTTGCAGAGAAAATCCATAGAGGCCAACTAGCATTAGCAGAGGATGCCAAACAAATAAAGTTTTAAAGGGATAAGCAAAGTATATGGCAAAAAGAATTAGAACCAAAATCGTCAAATGAACAGCCATTTTACCACAGATCAATGGAGCCAGTTCGCAACCAGGCTCCTTGACGCACAGGGGTACTTAATAAAGGTGATTGTAGTGCACATCAGTGAAAAATTAAATCAAGCTGAATTAGTGGAAAACCGGATCTACCTCAAGATGAACTATTTCGGATTTGTTTTAAAATGGATAAATCATCCATCCAAATAAAAAAATAAATAATTTAAAAAACTTCTGAGTAGGTCATTATCATCGAAGTTGCAAATAGGTTGCATGTATTAAATCTTTCCAAATTTAAATAAATATAAATTACAAATTTATTGCATTTATGTACATTTACATAGTCTGATGAATTTAGCAAAATTTAAAATGGCTATTCCAAAATGGAATGTTTTGAACTCAAAACAATAGTTTCTACTATGTAATCAATTTATATTAAAGGTTAATGTTTCATTCGTAGAAAGACTTTTCAAAGGTAACACAACTGTCAATAAGATAATTCTGAAATAAATGTCCACATGAAAGAATTATTATCATAACTATAGCCACAGCTAATTCTACCAAAAATTTTTTCATCATTCATAGACATACCCTTTTTCAATGAAATCTTGCTAGTCTATAAGCGTTGATGTGTAATAGAAAAAGCTGCCTGCCTCAAACATTTATTTACGATGAATTGAGCAATAATCAAACGATCTGTTAGATAAATGGTAAAAAGGGAAAATCGGTAGCAAATTTCATAAATTCGTTTTCTGATTTTGAGTTTACATTTACACATGATTCAATAAAACATTAAATCTACCTTTTTCCCTCTGCATCTAGAAGGATGTGCCTAGACAGTGGAAAACAAAAAGAATTCTCAAGATTCGTGGATGCTAAGACGATTAGCAATGTTTTGCAAAGAAATAATTCAAGTTTACGTTTAAAACTATATTTTCATTGCATCTCCCATTCTAGAACACTTAATTGAAGGTAATTGACGATATTTATATCAAAATGGCAGGCGTTTTGATAGTTATCAATAGCCCTTTACTTGACTTCAGGCTTCACAGAGGAGAAGGAACTTCAAAGTGGAAAAAAAGTCGAGAGGGGGGGGGGGAAGAGAGTGTTTCAAGTATGTAAAAAAGACTGACACTAAGGTCGAGTACTGTGAAAGTGGTGAATATGACATAGAGTGGGGTCGTGGTAGTTTGAAGTCATGAGTCAACTGGCGGTTCAGAGACTTTTTTTGCCGAATGAGATTACGTTGCACAGGGTGCACCACGTAGAGGTAAGTCTATCGCACACTCCTAATTGACGATATATGATTTGATAAGTGACGCATTCTAACACACTTATTGTAAATAGTGCATTATATTTATTTATAAAATCATTGAGCACGTGACAAGAAATGAAGAGCGTTTCGAGGTGCTGCAATTAGAGTAACAATTTGTGGTAAACAAATTAAAGAACTAAATATTCATGCTGGTTTTATATATTACCTAATGAACTCGTCTTTTAAAAGGAAATTGGAACTATTCCCGTTTTGCATTTCTAATAATTTCGTTTTAAATTAATACTCGCTTACTATATTGATATATCGATGTCGAATTTTCTGCATGAAGCATCATCCTGATTTGTCTTTCTTTTCATATCAAAACTAATTTTCCAAAGCGCACGTGCAAAAATTTATTCATATTGACATTCACTTTCATGTAAGCATGATCAGCACATTTAGAAGGAGCCACAGATGTATATTTTAATATATTTTTAGATATATATCAGTGCATATATATGTGATTACAAATATAGTCAAATGCATTTTGTTGTTCGTTATTCATATAGGAAGTGGAAAAACTGTATTTATAAAATATCAGAAAAATATAGATTTAATACATAAAATATCAATGCCACCCGACGCTTAGTAAACCAATTTACAAGAGATAACAGCAACCTGTTTGAGCCACCGTAATTCGGCTGAATGGAAAAAATTAACAAGACTTGGGCATTATTAAAGTAGGTCATATAAGTTTAACTGATAAAATATTTGTAAAGTATGTCAACAAATATTCTAATATTAGAAGAAATCGAGAACTCTTCGGAAAAGTTATAAACCTGAAAATTATATAGTGAAAGTTCAAAATTATTAGATATTTAAATAAAAAAATATATTTAGAAATAAAATTAAATTTTAAAAAATATTTATTCCCAAAAACGTCATCAATTTGTTAAATAACTTTTGGTATATGTTTGTTTAAGTCGGCACGTTTGAAGCTTGGTTCCACTTTTGTGGGATCCATATTGTCCTTGAGTCGGTCTGTGGTTTGTTGTTTTAATTGCTTGCAATTTTGTTTGTATCAACATATTATAAACGCGTTTTATTTGTTATTTATCTAGTGGAGAGTTTTCCTACATCTATCCTTTCCTTGGTTAATAAAACGTTTTAATTATCTGTGTAGGCTGATTCATAATGAATGACCAAGCTATGAATGAGGAAACAACTTCAGTTATCATGAATCCAGACGGTACATATACCGCTATTCCTTATGGTGCCACTGCTGACAATGGACAGGTTTACCTGTCTCTCAATGACCTAGGAATACAAAACGATGGTGATGAGATCATGGTGATAGCTGCGGATGATAATATAGATGTCGCAACGCTGGAGAATTTAATTGCTTCTGGCGCGGTAACAACCGTCACTGGTGAAAATGGAACCGAATACGTTCAAATTGGTGATCAAGGCCTTATTGATGGAACTCAGTTGTTTGAAGTGGCCTCAGACCAAATGCAGTTTTATGATCCTACCACTAAGACCTATTACGGTGTTCCTAACATGGTTTCTGGTGCAGCTGGACCTTTTGTAAATCTGTCTAATGCTCAGCCTGGTGGAATAACTTATAAGTGTCCATCTTGTCCTGCTCTGTACTCTAATGCCAATGCATTCACTAAACACATGAGGGAGAAGCATTTCGTGAAAGTCTACACTTGCCGTCAATGCGATGAGTTTTTCGAAACCCTAAGCCAACTCTTTTTACATGCCCGTCGTAGTCATGTCGACCCCAAGAAACCAAAGCGCAACCCTGCCAATTACAAATTCCATTGCGACCAGTGTAGTTACATGACCAATAATGGCGGTACAATGGAACATCATAAACGAGCTCACACTGGTGAGAAACCTTTTGTTTGTGATGTCTGCAATAAGCGTTTCGCTCAAAAAGCTAACATGAAAACCCATCGTAATCGTCACATTTACCGAGATAAGATTTTTCGATGTGAAACTTGTAACAAGGCTTTTTCTTCATACGATATCTACCTGGCTCATTTGAGAACTCGTGAGCACGAGTTACGAGAACATTTTGCAATGATGGCCTCTTCTCAACTTCATCTTGAATGTTTGGGTTGCTCACTATCATTTGATAGTATCTATAACCTCAATAAGCACACTCGTGGCTGCAGAATTGTTCGATCCTTGCAAACTAAATTCCGTTGCCTACCTTGCAACGCCTATGTCAGTGACGTTTCCGCCCTTAAAGCCCACGTCAAAGCACATGAAGGAAGTCAAATTATCTCGTGCCCAGTTTGTGGTGAGCGTGGTTTCCCGGGTTTCAACCAACTTAACCACCACATCACTCGTGCCCACGCTCTTAAAGTTAATCGTCGACATGTATGCCGTTATTGTGAAAGCACCTTCGAACAAAAGAAGGACCTAGATGCCCATATTCGTAGCATGCATGCTGAGGAGAGGAATGCTAGGCAGTCTAGAGGTGCCGTTGGTCGACTCAAGTGTCGATACGAACCTTGTGAATTCACAACAAACTCGATTATGCTCTTGGATAGGCACCATGATCAGCATAGACGACAGGAGGAAGATGGTGAAGATGGTATGTCATTGCCACCGGCTCGTTATGCACCAAGTACAAAAAGGAGGCGATATAGAGGAAGCAAGTTTGATACTCTTTATGGAGAAGATGAAGAACAAGAATTCATTGAGGGAGAAGAATATGAAGTTGGCGATGGAGGAGAAATGGCTAGCGTTTCTGATGGTATGCAATCCTGTTCATTTTTATCCTGACATAAATTTCCATTCTGATAACTTGGGTTTTGTCCGTCGTTTTTAACAGGAACAGTGGTAAAACCAGCAAATCGAAGTGAACTGGCGGAGGAGTCAATGGAAGATGAAGAGGCTTTGAGACCTTATGTTGGAAAGAAGGGAGAACCATCTTCATCTCGCCGTTCAATGCACACTCCATCTATATCAAGACACCATTTGGCTCACCAGACAGCTTCAGCACCTGCCAGCCGTCGGGCAACTCGAGCTAGACGTCTTCCAGCTTGGTACAAGGATTACGATACAGAATTCATTGGTGGTGGTGATGAGTCTCCACCACATGTTCCTGATTACCCCACTAGGCGGTACACTCCAACCGTTCCCCGTGCTAATGAAATTGAACAACTTACTACTGCCCTTGAGGTGCCATCAACTGCTCTTAATACTAATGCTGCTGGAGATGCGCCTGTAGAAGAGCAGGTCACCATTCCAACGGAAGAGTGGAACGTAGTTGTCTATGACGACGAGGAACCAATCACCAACGAGCCACAACAGGTTGTCGTAGAAATCCATCAGCAAGAACACCCTGGAGCCACTTCATAGTTGTCTAAACCCCCTTCAGTGTTTCTATTGTACATATATAACCAATTACATTTCCACTCCACAATCTCCCTTTTCTAGTAGACCGTCCCTTCTCTCTCCAACTATACTGTATTTGTGTGCTGAATCTATATCAATCACAAGGGTATTTTTATGTGCATGCATGTATGTTAATTTGCACCTCTTGCTATCTCCTTTTGGCTCCCTCCTTGTTATTATTTTTAATAGTCATTACAATATGCACCGAGGATAGTCTCTGTTTTATAACATGCAAGTGTTGGGGAGGGTGGATTTCAAGTGCGTGGTTCCTGGCATGGAAACATCGTGGCTCTATAGGACTGCTCCAAGATGAGTACTGGAGAAAAGTCCTTGAACAGGTTTTAGAAAAGCCTGGCATTGAAGTAGGGTCTAAGATTATAAGTTGGGGAAATTTTCCCAAAAATCAAGACTAAGGGATTTCATTGAACTAAGATCTGCCTGGAAATGTGTTGAGTAGCTGTATAGGTTATAGATGTCTAAAAGGGTAGAAGAAAGCGCGTTTACAACCTGAGGGGCTCGATATTTATATTTTAGTTTGGTGCTCATCACATATATAGGTATAATCCACAGATGATCGTTGGTGTTTATGATGTAGACAATGTCTGATTGCGAGTACACGCAATGAAAAAAACAGCTCTTATTAAGGATGATAAAATAGATTACTATCAAACTAGTTATAATTTTTGAGTAAATTCTATATTCTAAAGTGACATTACATGCTCATCTACCTATTCATGGCTTTAGGGACGAAGAAATTGTAAAAAATGCTATAATAACCCCCCCCCCACTCCCATTGAATCTAACTGATGGAAGAGATTTGAACATAATGGGCAGGAGATCGTCTAGATGGCTATGAGTCCAATAGAAATATTTAGTGACAGAACATTAAATGTGGACAACTCATTGCTATCATAAGTCAAATATAGTACTCTTGGCATCTTGAAGTAATTATAATCATTCTTATCCCATTTCATACCCTCATTGGACTACTTCGTCGGCCTTCAGATACAACGGTGTGATTGGAATTTTGCTAAGTCGATGGGTTGGCAATGGTTAATACTAAGAGATCACATTGGATTTCAAAGACTTTTTACTAAATTGCCAAATTGAGTGTGGTTAATCACGCTATTGCTAAAATGGCATGGATACTACTAAAAGACTCACTCAAACGAAGAACAAACTCTACTAACGCCTCGTCTTTCAAAAATACCACATTAATAAGCTCGCTAAAAAGTAGTACGAATAATTATAGAAATAATGTAGGTAATAACCACTAAGACCTTTTAGTTTTCAATAAGCTGATCGTAATCATGCATCATTTGAATCGTGATGTGCGAAAATTTGAACAACTTCTCGACACAGTATTCAACTGGTTAAGTGACTGTTCGCAGGTTTAAAAATCAGTGGTCTGGTTTTGCGCAATTATCACAACTTCAAAAGCCGAAACTTCAACAACCAAAATGAAGCACCTTCACAACATTTCATTAGTTCCTCCACAATTGAACAGAACTCGAAATAGATTTAACAAATCGGAATGCCACCACAGTTTGGGTAAGAAGTACTACTTTTATACTAGTTTCCAAATGCCACTAAAAATTAACAAACAGGCACAAACTATTATAAATAATCTACCCTCCCAAGTGAGACTGGCGCCCACGTCAAATACAAATCAATGAGGTTGAGACAATTTATTCATGTATTCAGCAAAAAAGTTGTACAGAGAAATAATAAAGCGAAAAACCCTTAGAGTTGATAGATGGAAACAACTATGATACATTTGCAAGATCCACGCTTTGGTAATGACAGCAAAAAACAGACTTAACAACGAACATTCTATACCAACGTGACCCAATAATCAGATGACTACACTTAAACGCACGCCAAAAACAATTTCAAACCAAACTTGTTGTAAAACAAGTTGACAGGATATTGAATCAGAAATGCACAAAGAAAAAGATCTGGGATGAAAGGAGAACTGGCAGAAAAGAGCAAGAAGTTCGGCTTGGCAATAATCGACATCTACAGGCCAAGCTGGTAGAAAAATATCAAATCATTTAAAATTACGGGAAATAGGTTAATGGATAATAGCAATGATTAGTAAGAACAAAAAAAAACAAAGAAATTCCCTGCTTTTCTAGCGACTCAGAAGGCATGAATCCAAAACTTGACAAAAGGAAAGATCTGACTATTTCCATGGATATAGTACTGATCATCTGCAGCGATTTCTGACAGCACAAATTACAGAAAATGAACTGCTGTACCATAGTCCATTACCTTAAGTTTTCTAAGACAATTAACTCTAATAAGAAGATGAAATTATGAGGAACTAATGGTCTTAAAGGATATGTAATACAAGTGAGGCAAAGTAAGTTAGCTCAATGTTTCACTATTTGCTGGATCATTTAAAGCAAAACCTTATAAAACAGCGACGAATTCAGAAAAGGGAATAAGTCAACAGTTTTGAAAATGGGGAACAAATGGCTTACCACACCAATAAGAACGGAACATATAATTGGCGTCTAACATATAAGAGTGATATTTAAGTCCGTTGTTGGTTTATAATCCACATTGAGAAAGATATGGCAAGCCAGGACGGCTTGAATGATTTCCTAGAGTACGGAATTGCCGATTTCTCATCAAGTAATGGGTCCCAATTGGTGATCCAAGGTCCACATTTACCTAAGAAATGCATAATTCACAAAAGATTGGCATAATATATACCGATTTCTAAAAGAAAATGGTCAAACTGAGGAAGAGTCGAAAGCAACCCCCATGACTGCGTCTATCGCCTTTGTTTTAGTCAATAACTAATAAATTTGGAAGTAAAACAACAAAACTTGTTAGAAATCTTCCCCCACTTGCATCAAGATTACTTAATTTATTAATTTTGACAGAATATATTGAATTTCATCGGTATTTTAGCAACAAGTTCCAAGCATACAACGGTAATGTAAAAACGTCGTTTTGCATGGAATTTCACAATATGTTCTCATTTTCTTTCGTTATTTCAAATCTTTGCTCGAGAGATCAATTCTTTAATTCTAAAATGATAGCGTCTTTCAAATTTCTATAAAGATTTCTTAACTGTTAATATTATTAAATTTGGGATGACACTTTTATCGCTGACCTTGAATCTGCATCCGCTTTTACGTTGTTATCCGTTGACTTTGCGTTGACTGGGAGCCTTTCGCTATTTTTTATCAAATCGTGTCGTTTGAAGTTAGAACTAATACTTGTACTGATTCAGTTAAAATATAATCATTCTTTGGGTTGGGTCACTAATAGTTGCTCTTCCCGTGTTGAAGTCATTACTTCTTGGTTTAAGTTTTTTGCAAGCCTTAAGTTGAATTAATGTTTGCATTTTTAGCGAACGTATTTTGATCAGAATACGGCTAATGCAAAACTTTATCCTAGTGAAAGGATGTGTGTATAACCTCCTTGTCTGGTGATTCATAATCAAATACGAAACAGCTGAAGTTAAGTAACTCCTACTTAATTTCATAAGTAGCATGTTGGTATCTCTAAGGCACTTCTTACCATATTGCAATAAGAGGCGAAATTTGCTTGCTTTGGGATGAAACTATTGGGTCATTTACTTACTGTGATGTTTAATTGAGACAGATTATGCGGATACTTCGATTAGACTTCGACGTCTATCACGGCCATTGTGGCCATTCATTCTTGATCTTGAAGCCCTGTTGTAGATCTCTTTAAATTTTTATGTCATTAAAGTCGATGAGTTCTCAGTTTGCCTATGCATTTTAGTAGCATTAGGCACCCCGTGAGTAATATGAGTTACTCATCTCAGTTCTTATTTTTAAGCAGCTGGACATTTGCTGAGGAAAATTATCGTTAATCGATAATCTGTAGGCAAACCTCACGCGATAGTATGGATCAAGGTCACATTGTCTACCTGCCCCC